GAATAGTGATGGGCACGATCATGATTGAGCAGATCATAGGTGTTCTGCTCGAGCATAATCTGATTGAGAGGACCCCATGATCGAATGATCGAGCAAATTGGGAGACCCTGATCGAGTGATCGAGCAGTGGTTGAGCATACTTGAGTCTAGCTGATCATCATTTCCTTTTTCATGTAAAAATATTGCCTTCAACCACGGGTGCTCTGATGGAACACTTTGTAAGAGTGTTAGTCAAAGGCTATCCATGGGCCATTAAAGCAATATTTGGTAGCCGTTGTCGGTGGAATTACAACCACTCGATAATATCTATATTCCGGTCTACCCCTGGCTCTTGGAAGTGGATATCAACTTGGGATTTCATGAGATCATTGTCTAGAGCAAGGGCATTTTAGACAAGTGAATTGGTGGGTCAGGCGTGTTGGGGGTTCGGTGGTGGGGTCCATTATCAGGGGCATGATATTGAGTGTGTGGTGCAGACAATGATTATATTAATAGATATCGTGTCATTTCCAGGAAAGATATATGTATAGGTATTGATAGAGTCATCGATCATGATCGATCATGATCGAACATGGTCGAGCAGTACCCCTACTCGAGCAACTCGAGCAGATCATGAGGGTCCTGCTCGAGCATAATCTGATCGAGTAACCCTTATGATCGAGTAACCCTTATGATCGAGGGTGATCGAGCATGACCTGCTCGAGCAAAACTCGATCATGATCTGATCGTGGCCATCACTACCCCTGAATTGCATAGCTCTAGGTATCAATTGTCCATTCTATTCACAAAGTAACTAATGCAAAACTGACCAACATTACAAGCAAAATCCTTGAAGCAAAAGAAAATGAAAAAGAAAAGTAAAATCCCGATACCTCTTTACCAATAATTTCCTGGTCCACATAACACGGAGAAAACATGGGAGGAAAGAAAATGTCTAGCCCGAGGAGGCAAGGGGGAAGACGATTGGTTGACAAAGTGGAGTCAAGAGAAGCTAAGAGAATCACGAAGAAACAGCGGAAAGAGAGGTAAGAGCGGGTTTGCCTGGATTACGTTTGGAGGCCTTCAAGAATTCTGTTTCGTTGTCAGAGTAGACAAAGGCATATTATTACGCGGAGAAGGAAGAGAGATTGCAGAAGACAACATTGCAGAACACGGAATATGAAATATTGATACCGGTGAGAACCAGAAGGTTCCAGTGCACTGAAAACAGAAACTATACGGTGCAAATTCCAACAGGGTACTGCTCGTGACAAAGAAACAAAAGGCTTGTTTTAACAAATACCTCTACCAATACCAATACAAACCCCACAGTCCCTGCCTAACCACTTCCCTACACCTTGGTAAGTTGATCGCTTGCAACAACCCTGACATACACTATACCCCTCCCTGCAGATGAAAAGAGGCAACACCCTAGCCACGCACTAAACCCCCACCAAACCAGCCCCAAACAGCAACGGGTTACTCAACCATCATACCTGATGGATCCACTGAAGTCCCCCTTGAGAATTTCAAAGCAAATAAATCAACCTAAAAAAATAAGCTTCTATTCTCTGCAAGGACCAGCTCAAGGCTTCAAAGAGGGGGTAGAGTCCCAGGAGGGTAAGTGAGTGCGGCTAGGAAATCATGCAGAGCCCACAGAGCAGAGTGGGAAATTTTGGAATATCAGCTCTGGCTCCGGAGGCGCGAGACGGGGGGGTTGAAGGGTAATATCGAGAGACGCGAGGTTGAGAGTGTAAATGGGAAAGCGAGAATTGATGGGCTCGAGGGGTGGTGGCTGACCTTTCCAGTGTAAAGACGAGGAGTGGCCCTTATTGCCCGGGTATATACGTAACCACCTTATAAGAAGTATAGCCCTCTTCCCGCATTCTTGTGCTCCAATTTCACCTTCTGGACAGCCCTTTTCCTCCGATAGATCCCAAGTAGATGTCATAGAAAAATACGCATGGCATTGCCGGGCTCCACGATGTGGGATTCGGGAGACCGTGTTCCATATGTCACTCAGTGTGGCGCTATTATTTAGTGCTGCTGCACCGAGGGTCACTCGAATTCAGTGAGAATACAAGAGAAAATCCCGCACACGACACGCCCCCCCAACTACACACTCGCACTTACAACTCGCCCACCCAAAACTTCACGAATACAACCCCCCGCCCACTTACCATCACACCCTCACCACACCCCATTTGAGTGCGCCCACCACCCACATAAATGCCATATCTCAAAATACGACCTCTCCCTCTCCGTCCCTTCTTTCACCAATGGCAAAATGCCCCCCCCGATACGAAATCCACCGGTTCATCTCCCGCCCACTTATTCAGGCCCTATCTTCCATTCCTAGATCTTGCTCAGCGCCATTCGCCCAGTTCGAGCAAGGCAGGCTGATGGAGCGAAAGCGAGTGATAGCAAATGATACGATAGGGAGAATTGTAGCTTGCCAGACGTAGGCTTCACTAGGCTTAGAAGGGGAGGGCATCAATTCCGAGTTTTTACTACACCGGGGTGAAGTGAACCATCCTACGAATTAGATTTCATCTGGAGGAGTAGCCCCCCTGTTTGATTGGAGCAATCAATCAATCCACAAACTCGCCATGCGAGTGATAACACATGACCCCATCTGTTACACCCCACGGGCGGTAAGGTTTGAGGGAATGAGGGTAGACCAGTTAGAGTATCTTAGTTGTGATTGATAGGGAAATATTTAGCGGGCGAATAGTTATGATACCCGGTGAGTGGTGAGGGGGCTGAAGCGGTGGGGGGGGGGGGGGGGGTTGGTCATGTGACAAGTGGGTGTGGTGTGAACGGAAACCCGTCCCAGGCGAGGTGTGCCAGAAGCGGAGGCTCAAAAAACGCACGGCAAAAAAAAATCCGTGTGTATTTGAGCACCCATACAAACTCGCGACTCGCGCCAGACATCTCTGGTTACTGATTCTCCTCGCGGGGGGACAAGTCGCAGCAGGGAGGCGAGGGAGGAGTGTAAAATCCGCAAGGTCAACAGAGCGATGGCGCCCCCATTCATAATCGAAAAGCTGAAACCAGCAATCTAAAGCCTTGGTAGGCATGCACTAGGCAACGCGAGCAAGGGAGAGAATTCTCAGCGACACAAAATTCCTACCCAGAAGTCATTTCCTTCCCGCTCCAGTATTTTGCCAAGAGTTCCAACTCCCAGCCCCCACTTCTCGGTAGGGCACTCCTGGCACGCCAGGAGTGCGGGGTTAGCGGTCGGAGTGCAGAAAGACTAAAAAAGCGAGATCGGCACTCTACGGTGGTCCAAGAGCCAGTAGATTGTCGAAAAGAAGAGAAAGCACGAGCAGAGTGTGGGCGGGTTTCGTCCGATCTCGTAAGGGTGCCCACTGCCTAGACACTAAGAGAAGGCTTACGATATATTTACATGATCCCTGTTTCCGGGCATTTATGGCCTCTAGAAAACACTACCTCTCTTGGGGTGTTCTGTCTCTTGTCGGGAAGATCTCGGGGAGATCGGGCGAGTGCTGGTCCATCGAGTTTTAACGGTGAATACCGAAAATCACTGCTAGCTCGTTACGTGGCCGACGCCTCAATGCATGCAAGGCCGAGAGTACGGCAGGATTTCATTCTCCAGGTCGGCTAATCCCGCGGTCGTCACCAAAGTACTCGTACACTCGTGTCGGCAAAGGTTCTCGCGACGACTGATGAACCGCTCAGTCTCCCCAGCCTTCCCCCAGAAAATTGCAGAAGTTAGCTAGATTACTGGCGAAAAATGGAAAAATGGGTTAACAGAATTCGCTGCTACAGGATTAAAAACGGTCCCTCAAGGGAGAGTCGCTCCGGCCTTGCTATCTTGCCGGAGTTTTCGGTAACCTGCAACCTGTAAGCTGGCGTACCTGAGGTGTTACGAGAACTCTGGGGAAGCGGGTGGACCCAACCAGGAAAAAACCCCTCAGAAGGGGGCTCAAGGGTAACCTCTATGGGGCTCAAGGATAATTTCCCTCCGATTGGTCACTAAACCTCGTTCCAACGCCCTGGCTGCATAACGAGATTGGCGAGTCTATAGCACGAGTACTCTAGTACACGACAGGCGGGTGAACCCCCCCACGGCACGTGCCAGCTTATGCCCATCCGATACCCACCAATATTTTTCCCCCTTGGCTTCAGATTTCTGTGGATACACCTGAGAACACGGGTACTGCACTGTTCATTGCAGGTAGTGGGCCAACAGTCAACACGAGCGAAAAAAATGACGCCTTGTAGATACCAACAACCCGGAGACACTCGGCCCATTACCATATCCCGCCAAATGTGATACGGTGGGGGGTGTGCATTATCAAATTGGGCTAGGCAAGGAGGGGTCCCATAAGGCCTATTTCCCAGCCTTAGAGGGCGTTCTTGTGAATCCCGGAGGTCGCGTCGCTGGGGAAACGCCGAACACCAATGCTACTGGTCCAGATTCCAAGCTTCTACAACCACTTTTTCCCATCGTGAGGCCAACCAATCAACCAACGTAACCCCTATCTTGCGCTCGCAAGTTTTCCACCGAATCAGAGTACTCGTACCCGCCGCCTAACACGAAAAACAAAGGCGGTGGTCCCGGATTGTTTGTCCGTTCTCCTTTCGAAGTTGGTTTCTTTCTTAAAACCAGCCGTGAATACGGCTGTGTATAACTCTGGTTCCAAAGATAGCGCCTCCACCCTTCCACCGCCGGTATGCCGGCAGACTTTTTGATGATTGTCAACCAGGAATACCCAAAACCGATTGCGCCTTGTACCACCTACCCACAACGATTGAGTTCGAGTCTTGCTTTTTCTCAGCATGGAGAGGGGAGCGGGAAAAAAAATACAGTTCCGACCATTCTTTCATTCTTTTATTTTTTTTCCCCCACCCTACAACGGTCTAAAGAGCATGTGAAGGGAAAATTCGGATGAGCGGTGTTAGGGCCCTATCAAGCCAGGCGTAGGTATGGTATTCCACCAGTCGGTGCCTGTCTTGTTGCATCTCAATGCCTGCCTCCAATTCTAGACGTCTGCCTACAAGCCTAGGGATTGGGGATAAAACCCCTCGCTCCTCAGCTCTTCGAAATACCATAAATCACTCCTACCCTTATTCCAGAACCCTTCCTCCCTACTATCCCAGGTCTCAAAAAAACGGAGAATGTCTCCAGTCAATCATAACCCGCATAACCTTCCCGAAGGGTGCGTCACCCCCCACCCAAGTCATCCGAGTGAGACTGATCCCGGCATCTACGGCTATGACAACAGCGGTCCAGAGCTGGCGGCAATTATCATTCTCGATCCCGGCGACCTGCTCGGAAGCCTCGAGCAGTACCCGCAGTCCTGCAACCCCGGCTCGGGCACCGGCATCGAGAATTGCCACACCAGTTTTGCAAATTTGAGCAACACCGGTGACAACATTACCGAGGACTCCAGGTGGGCGCATTACCGCATATACCCCCCTCATCCTCCCACGGATCAACACTCGGTACTCCAGGCCAACCACATGTCACCCTTTCAATCCAACCCTGCCTCAAATTCCCTATACCAGATCCAAAGCGCCTCGCCGGTTCAAGCAACTAGATGCGATAGCAACCAGACTGTCAGCTACCTCGAATTTCACCCTCATCGTCCACAATACCCGGCTAGACAAGTACGACAACTGGCCAGTGGTCTTCAAAGCGAGGGATATTACCCAAACCCCAACACCGGTAGCCTCGCGCCCTCTCCCCTTCCGCCCCGCCGCCGGCCCGCGTACCGCAGTAAGAGACAGAGCAAGTTAGCCAATCACGCAGGCCTGGGCCTTCATGCATGTCATACCTGCGGGATAAAATTTAAACGCCAATCCGACCTAGGTAGACACCTAAAAACAGCTAGGAAGCATTGTGTGCCTGGTGGACCTATTTGTCCGGAGATCGGCTGCAAATATGCTGCGAGATTCACGAGGGTCGATAATTTCAGAGCTCATTACAAGGGGCAGCATGGAAAGAGCGACGGCGAGTCAGAAGGGGTTATTCAAGAGTGGAAAGCTCAAGGCAGACCCTAGGTCCTGAGTAGGGGTGATTGACGCGCTATAAAGCGGAAGCTCGGGAGCACGGCGACAGAGGACCGTGGCGTTCGTGGCGTTCGATGAAAACAGACGGTGATCGAGTAACTTAGGGAGGGTGGGAAGGAAGAAGGGGTGTGTATTTCTATTCAGAGATTTTGGAATAATGGAGGGCGGGATGTAAGTTAATAACAAGATTTGATGTCAGAATATTGTATCAGTTGTTTCCAATATCTAAGCGGGAGTCGAATGACACATAACAATAACCCAACAGTCCAAGTTTCCCCCAGACTACTAAACTTATATCGTAGGGCAATTATGATACAAGCTGTGAATTCTAGCTATAACATCTCGTTCAGCGCCGTTAGCCCCATTTAAACACTCCTAGCATGTCTAATATGCACTAATGACTACACTCCGGAGATATAAGCTTGTAGGCATAGGTGGATCCTTAACTTACGTACTTAGGATCTCTAGTGTTGAAGGCTTCTTCTCTAAATTCTTTCTCTTTCCTCCCTTTCTCTCCTCTCATTTCTTTTACATCAACCCTCGCAATCACTCCCCATACAAACAAACAAAGCCTCATCAGTCTGTTCCCTCAACTCCTTACCATCTTGCACATTCCCATTCTCACCCTCTGACTCCTCTCCGCACATATCATATCTATTCCAAATGTCTCCCACCATGCTCTCGCGCATCCACCCATAAAACGCCGCTATCGATCACTGACCCCCCCGTTATTCCCTCGGGATTTCCAACATAACATCCAGATATACTAGCGAGTGATAGGTTATGATGTTTCCGACTAGGGGTTAAAAGATACAGGTGAGTAATATGGGGAAACGGAGATGATTAGGACGGATAAATGGTGAGGAGCGAGAGCAGGGAGGCTGAGAACACAATTCAGTAATTGGTGACCCACACGCAATGTGAGTATGCCATTCATTTACAGTCGAGAAGGGACGAATTTCATTGGATCCAAATGTTTATATCTTGCCAGCCGTGCTCCACAGCCCAGTTTATCCACCTCAATGTTATTATTGGGCAGGCCATCGGTGATGGCTAGGCTTCCCTTGAGGGGTGCCAGAGCACATTGCAGTCCGCTGATCAAGACTACAAGGATCACAAGCGGAACAGCCCTACAACGAAGCTGTAAGCACTGCCATTAACAACCATGCCTTATCTTCCAGGGCTGTGCTTTTCATTATTCAGTTAAAACACTCCTCACAAGCCGGCGCCCATCCCGTTTTTCCACAGCTCAGAATATACATTCCACTTGTGACATCACTTTATCCTGGCTTCGCATCTCTCGCTTCTCTTAAGAAGCACCCAGCCAGCTGCTGTGTGGAGGGCATACTGCTACCCAAGGCACCAAGCATACTTCCTTGAATTGTGGAGCTCGCCAAATGTTAGCATCTTTGCATAGCAACAGATGAAATTAAAAAAAAAAATCCTATTCCAGAACCCAAGGTGTATTAGCAATTCAAAATTCCAGGTTTTCTGCATCTACATACTTATTCACCCTGCTTATCACAGAGTTAAATTCATGAAACATCACTCATAACCTCTCCCCCGCCCATCCTCCCCGCCCTATCGCCATGCGGACCCCAGCGGCCCAACCGAAGACAGCCGTCCAGCCCAGAATTATCGAGTCTTATGTCTATCACTACACCCTATGTAGTGCGCCCTACCGTGTCATACAATATGCAGAATATGTGCAAACGACCCAAGAACATGGCCACCATAATAACCGGAACACAGCCTCCACCCGGGGTCAGGCAGAACCGGGAGGGGCGGCAAACAGGGGATAACACCAAAACCTAAACCTGCAGGCTACGGCAACCACTCCGGGAAAACCCTTCTCTTACCCTGTCGCACATTGCATCTCTCCAATACCGTCCAGCAACACCGCAGCATCTAGCTATGACAGGCAGGAACTCTTACACCACGTCAAAATAAGAAGAGCATGAGGTGAGGCTTTCAATTGCATCAAGCCCAAAACCCAGAAAGGTTTCGTCACAACCATAAAGAGTTAAGATATGGCGATGGGATAAATTCCCATTTGAACGTGCTAGCTTCTGGCTGTTCTTGCCAGATGACGCGGCATCTCTATCATACGCACGCCACCAGAACAGTACCCTTACTCCAATGTCCAGGTGAGAAAATACCACAACAAGAAAGAGTGAATATAAAATAAGACTTTCCCCAAAAAACAAACCGGACATAGATGTATCAACTAATGCCTCTTTGAAATCTTCGGGAAATAGTAGACTAGAGGAGATGTGATTTAAGCAGAGATCAGTTCTTTATAGTATTACACCAAAAAAACGCTTGAAAACACCCCCGTTCCAGCGCATCTCGGCATGCCACCTTCCAACATATTTTCTTAAAGCAGACACTCCTCCTAGAAATTCCAAGTGACATAGACTATCCACCAGCATGGGAGTGTCTTGGTTGACTTCCAGGACCGGGTGGTGTCCTCGGCCGAGCTGACACCTACAAAAAAAAAGATTGACCATCACCTCACAATATACCATTGGATAAAGTGCGGAAAATTGACTGGAATTGATGGCTGTGCAACACCCGTGAGCTAAGGAGAAAAAGAGAAAAATGGGGGCCCTGCTTGGATGGAGAGGGAGTGCTGTACAACTATGATACTTGTAGAGAGGCGCTTGCCCTCACGCTACGCTAGGGCGGTGGCTGCCGGGTGTAAGTGCTCTCCTGCAGAACAGTATCATAAGGGGAATCACCTGCCTATATACAGAAAATTTTGTGTGCCAAGACACCCACGAGTTGCAACGACAGTCCAGTAAACATACCTCTCCCACGCCAGTACTCGAAAAGGGTAAATTTATAGGCGGGGTATGATATGTAGCCTGTGTGAGGGTACATTACAGTACCGGTATGGGGAAGATTTTCTCCCACTGAACTTGGCTGCTCCGCCTCTCCAAGAGATAATACAACTTTCCTCCTATAAAACCGTTTAATAAATCAGAACTTGTCTACGATCCTTGTCCCCGCCAATGTTCATAGGACGTCGGTGTTGTGGTTGCGGTGGGAACTGCAGATGCTACGCCTCTACCCAAATTACCCACTGAATCATGACTTTAGTCGTTTATTTTGAACGCGTTAGTAAAATGAGATAAGATTTATTAAGTCATTAGAGGCTTTGAAAAGAATTACCGGAGAAAGTGTTTTTGAAGTTTTTCCCGAACACTGACAGATAGTTCACTATGACCGGACCTTCCAAGAGTTTTTACTGGGCGGGGGGGCAAATTCCCGTTGACAAGGACCCTGACTCTCTTGGAACCCCCTATGTTACACCAGACTGCGGCAGTCTAGGCAGCAGGCAGGTTCTGGCTTCTGCCAGCACATCCCCCACACAACCGATGTCGTGGCTGATTTCTCCAGAGCGGTTCAGAAAGTCCTTCCCTGGACTCAGGAGATGCTCTTCCCCTACATGCGGTGAAGCACAACTCGAGGCGCAGCCCACCAGAAGTACTATGGAGCCATACGAAAACAGGTGGAGCACATGAGGAGAAGTTGGGAGCCTTACGTGGTGTCTACAGAGCAAAGATCAATAATCCAGACGCCCAGAGAGCCCCGCCTACCCACGAGAATTACCAACAGATCCAGAGGTATTTGTGCACTGGAAAGGACAACACAGCACATATTCCGCACTAGGATAATCCAATGCATGCTGCATGATTTCGCTCCCTGATGGGACGGTGCTTTCATCCGCAAGCATGGGTCCGCTTTATAGGTTCGGCCATGAGGCTGGGAATTTATAATAAAACCCCTCCACCCTGCTGCCCTGAGAAACCCCATCAACCGACTCCGCTCTAAAAACCCTCCCCTTACCACCCAAGCCCGAAATACCTAAAATGTCTCGACCCGATGATAGCAAGCACAATTTTTCCTCATTGAACCCGAATTTCTACTCAAGCAATGAGACTGATGCATATTTTGGCTTGTACAACCATTACGAGAGCCATCCAGAGCACTGGCAATCCAACCGCCTCTATGAAGGCATCCCGTGGGGCCTCCCTGCAGAATACCCCCAGCATAGCACCCCGGACCCATGTGGTAGCAGCAATACCAGCTACTCCCAATCCGGTGGTACGAGTTGGGGCAGTATCGATCCTAGTCTTATCGAATCCGACAGGTAAGCACATAAACACATATATCCCGTCTTGCCCAAACACCCGCTCTCGTAATATCAAACTAACCTTCTGCCAACATTTGATCTAATAGCCCCTGGAGATACCTGTTGAATTTCCTAATTGGTTTCATATATATATTCTCCTTGATAATATTGTATATTTCTCTACTTGGTATTATTACTAACATTACTACAGCCGGAGTATGTATTACGTATATTTCATTGATATTTCATGATA